GGAACCCACCAAACCGGAGGGGTGTTTGGGGATGAGAATATGTAGAACTGTGCCCTGCTCTGTAGATTGCAAGCCAGGCAAAGAACAAGAGCCAAATAGGTTCTGGGTGCACATGGAGTCTGGGCAGAAGATGCCAACAAACAACCCACCTGCTATCTCCTTGCCCACCAACCCTCAAGCCCTACCTGTGAGAGGATGCAAAAGTGAGAGTGGCTGGATGCTTCAAAACACGTGGCTTGGCTTGGAGATGTAGCTCATTTGGTGGGGCACTTGGCTTGCATGTCCAAAGCTCTGGGTTCACTCCCCAGCTCCTTATAAACTGAGTATGGGCACCAGACTGAAATCTCAAGGTCCAAATCAGGAGCAGAAGGAGAGAGAGCATGAGCAAGGAACTCAGGATCTTAAGGGGTGCACCCACACACTGAGACAATGGAAATGTTCTATCGGCTTTGTGGGAGCCTAGGCAGTTTGGATGCTCACCTTACTAGACCTGGATGGAGGTGGGTGGTCCTTGGACTTCCCACAGGGCAGGGAACCCTGATTGCTCTTTGAGCTGATGAGGGAGGGGGACTTGTTCGGGGGAGGGGGAGGGAAATGGGAGTCGGTGGCGGGGAGGAGACAGAAATCTTTAATAAATAAAAATAAATAAATAAATAATAAAAATTAACAAAACAAACAAAAGAACTGAGTATGGTAACAGAAGCCTGTGACCCCGGCACTCAGGAGCTAGAGACGTGGGGTGCAGGGGAGGTCACAAGATCAAGGAAGCTCTTAGCTACATAGCAACTTCAATTCTAGCCTGGGCTACATAAGACTCAGTCTCAAGACAAATTTAAAAACTAACAATTATACAAAAGGCTTCTTCCTAGTGGGTGGTGGTGAATGCAGAGACTCGTGGTGCAGAAGGAGCTGAGAAAGTGACAGGTGACAGATGAGCACTCACCCCTGAATGAGAGGTGTAGCGTTCCATCTAAGGCTCCAGGAACATCATTGTGCAAGGGGGGGGGGGGGGGCAGAAAAAATGGAAGAGCCAAAGGATAAGAAGAAGTGGAAATGCCACAGCCGTGGCAATCATGAACTCAAAGCAGCTTCAGATGCCCACACTGGGTCTGTACAAGAGTAGCCCCATCAACAGCTTTCAGGCGTGTACCCACTGGTAATCCCACTGTTCTCCAGTGGGTTGGTCCGATCAGATGCTCACACAGAGAACTGTAGTAAAACAAAATAATTCACAAAACAAAGACGGAAGTCATGGATCTGGAAAAGGGATTATGTGGGACTATGGGGAGGAATGATAGGAATGAGAAGGAGTCGCAGGGATGAGACAGCCCGCAACTCTGCTTCTAGGGGTTCAGACTCCCCCTTCTGGCCTCTTCAGGCACTGCAGGCACATGGTACACAGATAATGTGCAAGCAAACACCTTAACACAAAAAAATTAAATCTTTTTTGAAAAGGATAGGAAGATGCAGGATGGTGGTGGTGCACGCCTTTAATCCCAGCACTCTGGAGGCAGAGGCAGGTGGATCTTTGTGAGTTCGAGGCCAGCTTTGGTCTACAAGAGCTAGTTCCAGGACAGGCTCCAAAGCTACAGAGAAACACTATCTCGAAAAACCAAAAAAAAAAAAAAAAAAAAAAAAAAAAGGAAAAGGGTACAATTAGAATGCATTATATATCATTATATATGCATATGAAGTTGTCCAATAACAGGCTAACTTAATTTTAAAGAAGAAAAAGAGGTGTAGTGGCACCTATTGAAAATAAGACGTGCCTCCTTTTCTTCAGGTGTTTGTTTTTTACATGAATTTTACATGGATACACAGTGTGTGTTTGAAGTCTGAAACATGATGTTGTGGTGTACACAGGGGTGGGAAAAGTGATTTCTGTAGTGAAGAGAATGACCGTTCAACCATCTCAGTTATGTTTTTAATGGCAGGAGCAGCTAAATTCTATTTATTCAATAAAAATTCCACAAGCTGTAAAATTTTGTTAACTCTATATTTGCTCTCTAGGCTTGCTGGGAGCAGTGACATACAACTTAAATCCCAGCAGTCCGAAGGCAGAATCAGGCAGATCTCTGTGAGTTCAAGGCCAACTTGGTCTACAAATCGAGTTCCAGGACAGCCAGGATTACATAGAGAGACTTTTTCTCATAAAAGCCAAAAATAAGAAATAGATCTCTAGGCTTGGTCACACTTCGTACCGGCCACTTTGAGCCCTTTGACCTTCGCTTTCCCACATCCTACTCCACCACCCACCCATGGTTTATTCCCACAGCTTGGCTGTCTTGAATTCTTCAATGAACGCCAGAGCCAGGCACCTTTGAGAGTGAACCTAAGAGTATCTCTGTAGAAAGGCACCCATTCTTGTTTATTCTACAGCATTCTGAAGCATCTAGCTAATGCACCAAGGATCGCATGAAGCCCACAAATGGCGTCTGATGAGCGACTGTGACTGCTTGTTTTAATAAAGAGCAGTGTTTCTCATAAGTAGCTACATCTTTCTTTTTTAAAAAAAAAGCTGAAGTCTTGAAATGACTAACCTCTTCGCTCTCATGCTTATAGATGTGTAAATTCTAACCCCTTGGAGCAAACCACGTGCTGTTGTCTTTACGCATGCGTAAGTATGTGAAGAGCATTTCCTGATGTGCACGAGGAACAAATTTCAAACTTGCACTGTCTACCCACTAGCTACGAGCCAGTTTTATTTTTCTCTGGTGCTGGGACCTTGCACAGGCTAGGCAAGCTGTCTACGAATGAACTATATCCCCAACCTATTGGACACTATTGGTGTGTATGTATGTGTGTGTGTGTGTGTGTGTGTGTGTGTGTGTGGATTTATACACTGTGTACATGTGTGTATAAGCCAGAGATAGATGTTGTGTATCTTCTCCAGTCCCTCACCTCCTTATTTTTGAGGCAGGGTCTGTCGCTGAACCTGGAACTTGTGAATCTAGTTAGGGTGGCTGAACGACCAGGTCCAGGGACCTGCCTGTTCTGCCTCCGAAACGCCTGCGTTATGAACGCATGTCACTACACCCATTTTTTTTTTTTTTTTGATTTTTCGAGACAGGGTTTCTCCATAGCTTTTGGTTCCTGTCCTGGAACTAGCTCTTGTAGACCAGGCTGGCCTCGAACTCACAGAGATCCACCTGCCTCTGCCTCCCGAGTGCTGGGATTAAAGGCGTGCGCCACCACCGCCCAGCTTACACCCATTTTTTTAATGCAGTTCACGCGCGCACGCACACAGACACACACACACACTTTTTTTTTAAACAAGAGGCACATCAAAGGCCCTGTGAGTTTTAGAACCAAGATCTGACTCATTCACTCTGTAAACAACAACAGACCTGTTCTCAAAAAATATTTCAGTTACATCTAACACGGTCGCTATCTTGAACAAGAATCCAGGTGAGGAGGGAATGAAGAAGCAGACAGGGCAGGCAGCTTGCGGTCAAAGTCCCTATCTCAGTGATGCTATCCCTTCCGTGAGCCAGCTTGGGTAGGACACTTAACCTCTCTGACCACAGTCCTTCCATCTTCACAGTCACAAAATGTCAGGAACTGAGAAGATTGGGCCGAACAGTGTTACTGGAAGAGCTGAAGACGTGTCTCTAAGTGTGAGGGGCTGCTCTCTGCACATTTACAGAAACATCAGCCTCAGAGGGTGCCCCGCCACAGGGACTAAAGGGCTCCCTTCCACGACACTGGCAGTATTCACTAACCCACGACTTCCACACTGCTCCAGCGCCTGCTCCAGACTCATGACTTCAGGAGTTCCCTTCCATCCACCCAACTCTGCTCTGGGGCTGGCAATCCCCCACCAATTGAGAAATACAGCTAGCGGCATTATCGACGTTGTCTGAGAGAAGCTTTTCCCAAGAGCTAGCTGTCAGAATGCTTGAGACGGATAACACGTTCAGGTGGCTTACCACACCATTTGGGTTTTCTTCACTGTTTTAAGTCAACACACGAAGTTCTGGGCCCCATGGCAGCGTTTTCGTCCACATGTGTCACCGTCCTTTGTGTTCCAACCCCTTCGCCATTTCCCACAGCCTTGCCCTTCTGTTGATTCTTCCTCCAGTCTGTTTCTGGTCACCTGGGTTCTTTTACCCTCTGTTTTCCTCCTCCTCCCCTCTCCTTTTGTATTTTGTTAAAAAAAAAAAAAAGTCCAAATACTGATTAAAAAAAAAAAGAGCTATAAAAAAAATTTGAACTATTATATTTGGAGCCCAGTTTAATGCCCACACAATAACACAATATCTATACACAATAAAATTTGGTGTGTGGTTTTTTGTTTGTTTGTTTGTTTGTTTTGTTTTGTTTTTTGAGACAGGGTTTCTCTATAATTTTGGGGCCTGTCCTGTAGCCAGCTCTTGTAGACCAGACTGGCCTCGAACTCACAGAGATCTGCTTGCCTCTGCCTCCCGAATTTTGTTTTTGTTGTTGTTGGTTGTTTTTTTTTTTATGTTGTTGTTGTTGTTTGTTTTGGTGTGTGGGGTTTTTTTTTGTTTTTTGTTTTTTTGTGATGGTTTGGATTTTTGTTGATTTGTTTTCTCCCCACCCCTTCCCTAGACAGGGCCTCGCTATGAAGTCCTGACTGGGCTTGAATCCAAGATCTTTCTAACTGAGTCCTGAGGTAGCTAGCATGCCTGGCCACGATGCCTGGCTAACGACAGAGTTCTTAATGTCGTGACTCATTCCCTACCACAAAATAATAGAACGCCCCGCCCCCCACAGACCAAGCGTTCACACGTGAAGGGGACCCTAGCAGTGACCTGTGGGTGTCATTTTCTTCTCTTCCCTGGAGATTCTGAGGTTTCTGCTGTACCAACGACAACGGGCGCGAACAGTTTCTCACATTTGCATAATTGACTAGCCGCGCGAGTTTCCCTGCTTCTGCTGGGGAAATGGATCTCTGCATCTTTAAGGCTCCGCGGGGCTGTCTGCTCCGGCGGCGACGCAGGCAGGCAGGGCAGGCTCTGCCGCAGCAGCGACTCATCCCGTCGCTAAGGTCCAGTTAGCCAAGGTGGAGGATGGGAAAAGAATGGAGCTGTCCCAGCTCCTCAATGAGATCAGGGCAAACTATGAACAGCTTCTCACCAGAAATCAGATAGAGACGGTGCTGTCCACAAGGATGCAGGTAATGATTTCATTCAGCCAGTCACCTTCGGGATAAGGAGACAGTCCATGTCTCCCCGAGTCCTGTCCCGGCCTCTCTGAGGTACAGTATTTCTTTTCCATGCAGCATCTACTGGGGAGGCAATGTAGGTGTTTCTGCACTGGGTCTGGGGTGGCAGACAGGGATAAACCCGGTGGCTGTGCGGCTGAATGACCGTTCAATAAATATTGATCGATGAATTAGGATTTTACGTAGATAAGGTGACGGACCGTCATTACTAAAGCACGGGGTCAACGCACAATAAAATGGTGCACTCCGACCTCTTTAGATTTTTCTGGAAAGACGCATTCCAAACACTCTTCAAAGATATTATGGAGTTAATTATAGAAGCGATTTAAAAAATCTGTATAATGGAAGCTTGATAGTCGAGATTGTTTGCCTGCACATTCTGAGGCGATAAAAGCAAGTAAAATATTTTTTGAAAGGTTTCTATCATCTTTCCCGTGCGCTCAGCTTTCTGCTGATTGCCATTGCTATAAATAGAATCATCTGAGTGTGTGAAAGCGGGTTTCAGAATCAGAGAGACAAATTCTAACAATCAAAATTCCCCCAGCTGGGTAGTGACTCGACACTGAAAAGTACCCATTGTTGCATCTGGACTGTGAGAACTGTTTACTTCTGACATAAATGCAAGATATTTAAAATAGACGAACGAAACAGAGCCAACTCAGACCAAGGCTCAATTCAAAATATAATATATAAATTTATGCATGTGTGTATATATATATATATTATATATAAACTGTTAGCAAGAAATCACAGGACTTCGTTCCATTAGCAACTGAAAGATCATTGTAAATTTTGCTTGTGGGTAACATTTTCAGTGTTCAAAAAGAAAGACCAGTTCCCTGGATTAAATAAGGTCACTGGGCTGCTGGTTTAGATGCTGGAGAAGTTTGTTCGCCTTCATATGATAGGGGAAAATATTAAGAGATGACAACTTTTGACAGTTATAAACCAAATGAATACTTTATTTTACCAAGTAGAAATCTAAGTTTCGTTTACAAGTCCCCATGCTGAACTGAGTGACTACGAAGAAAAACAGCAGAAACTCTCACGAGTTCTGTTTGCAACATCTGATAACATAAAGGTTTTGAGAGAAATGCTTTCCTCAAGTAATTCACAAAGCCAGTTTATTTTATTACCACCACATATTGCAAAGCCCTGGGTTCAAACCCTAGCACCAAGAGGCAAATAAGTCCGATAAAACAAGCATATAGTTGCTGCACTAAAAAGTTACCCCAAAAACTCATTGGGCTAAAATTTTAGGCTATTGTATTCTGGCTTGTAATTCTGTGGGATGAGGAGCAGCCTGGGCTGTGGAGACCCTGGTGCTATATGAGATGCGGAATAGGATGCAGTCACCTCAGGGTCCTACTGGCTGGCATCTCCAAATGATTGGCTAATGTGTTTGGAACCTTGGCAGTGGTTTGCCGAAAGGCTGACTTGAAACACCTGAGCCAGCTCTGTCTCCACGTAGCCTCAGGTCCCTCTCCACCTAGCTTCCTTACAGGACCCTCTCTAACCAGGTATCCGGATATCTTCTACAATGATAACCCAGGGCTAAACCGGGCGGTGGTGGTGCACGCCTTTAATCCCAGCACTCGGGAGGCAGAGGCAGGCGGATCTCTGTGAGTTCGAGACCAGCCTGGTCTACAGAGCTAGTTCCAGGACAGGCTCCAAAGCCACAGAGAAACCCTGTCTCGAAAAAACCAAAAAAAAAAAAAAAAAAAACCATAATGTGGAAGCTGCCAGGCTTTCTTAAGGCATAGCCTAGAATGGGCACAGCGTCACCGCTACCATACCCAACTGATCACAGTAAGACTCAGGGCATGAACTGGGGCGGGGGGCGGGGGAGATTCACTGGGGACCATCTTGGGAATCTAGCTAACACCCAGTTTACCAGCCAGTTCCCTACTGGGAATCAAAAGACCAGGGGTCCCCACAGCCCTTATGTCATTTCTAAACGTCTTTTCATTCTTTTTTATAGTTGTTCCCATAGTTGTTGTTGGTTGCTTGACTTTGCCAAGTTAACACTAAACATGTGATCAGCTGACGAAAGAAAGGAAGAAAAAAAATTCCCTCCAGCATCTTTCCTTTTCCATTATTCGGTCAGGGGAAGGGGTGATCACGTGTATGTGTGTGCATGTTTGCATGTGTGTGGGTGAACTGTGCAAGATTCACAAGCATGTTGGTCTGTCTCGAACTCACAGAGATCCGCCTGCCTCTGCCTCCCAAGTGCTGGGATTAAAGGCGTGCGCCACCACCGCCCGGCTCAGATTCTACAAATTTAAAAGAACATTAAAACGTTGTCTTTTTTTTTTTTACTTCATATCAACTCAACACATTGCTCCTAATGAGGTCAAATGTTGATAACGTTGTTAACTAGTGCTTTCTTTTAATTCCACCAGCATGAAAACATTTTAAGCAAAACAGAGAATACCAAGTTTCCCCCCCTCCACCCCATACCTGCCCAGGCAGGCATTTTACCACTGAGCTACACACCTTCCCCTAAGTGTTTTTATAATAGGAGAATATTTAGAAAATAATCTTTCAGATGTATTTTTGGGAGACTTAGAGGATAGCTCAGCTAGTGTTACTGTGAGAGTTTGAGGACCTGATCCTGACCCGCAGGATCCACATATAAAAGGGAAACACGGCGGTGTGTGCGTGTGATTCCAGCAATGCGATCTGGAGACAGGCACGCAGATCCCTGGGCTCACTGGCCAGCCATTCTAGCCTCCTTAGCAAGCCCCGGGCTCAGTGGGAAACCCTGTCTCGAAAAAACAAAAACGAACAAACAAAAAGATCTTTGGAAAAAGTTAAAAGGTTTTTGCAACACAGAACTTTAAGAACCTTGACGCCAACGACAACTTGATTTTCCGATTTCCTAGTATAGTAATACATTTTCTAGTGGTGTCTCCTCCCAGTCCGTCCATCCAGAATTGACCCCTTTGGTGATAGACAGATGTGTATCTGCCTCTATAAAGCAGCCTACAAAAAAAAAAAAAAAGTTGAAAAATATTCACTGAATTTCCCTCAATCTTTAATATCGACAGATAAGGGAATGTAAAATAATCAGAGGTCACAAAATTGTCTCGAAAACTTTCTCTTCGTTAAAACAGATGTGTTTCTCTGTATTTCACAGGCTGCCGTAGTGGGAAGGGACTTTTCAGATCATTTTACAGCAGAGGAGATTGGGGCTGGGAGCATAATTGACTGGCTCAGGGATTTGATTAATTAGTGATGAAACGCTGGAGCACACACTTGTAATCTAATAGTAAAAAGAAGATGCAATTCGATTCCTGTATAATTGTTCTACGGTTGCTTTTAAGCACCTCCCTCTCAAGAATGCCCTTTGGGGTTTTTGTTTCTCTTGGGTTTTGTTTTCTTGCTCTTGTTGTTGTTGTTGGCTGTTGTTATTGTTGACTCTTTTGCAGCTAGAGGAAGATATAACGAAGAGAATGGACAAGGATGAGGAGGCTCTGAAGGCAGCTCAGGCCGAACTCAAGGAGGCCCGCCGCCAGTGCCACCACCTCCAGGTGGAAATAGAGTCTCTCCACGCCGTGGTAAGGAAGAGCACCAGAAACGGGCTCGCTGCACCCCAGAGGCTAGTGATTTAGGGAGCGAGGGGCCTTGGGAAAGAAGCTTGCTGGCAGAGCATCATGTATAACAGAGGAAGGGAAAGAAGACACTGTCACTCTGCAGTGGAAGCCACTGAGTGCTGGCCCGGAGCCTAACTCTCTCCCGCCCTGTGACTGTGAGAGCAGCTCACTGGAGGTTCCGTTTACACCTAGAAATATTCAGTTTTACTTCTCATTGCTCTGGGGCTCCCCGACAGTTGATAGGGAAAAAATGGATTGTGTACTGCTGTTATCTATAGCCTTCCAAACACTGGCTCCTTGCATTGGTGTCATTGAGATTTCTAATGGGAAAACACTTAAGCTCTTTCCTAATATGCCTTTTGCTATTACATCTGTTTGTTTGTTTGTGTGTGTGTGTGTGTGTGTGTGTGTGTGCACGTGAAAGCCAGTTCACGCCTCCCACCACGTGGGGCCAGGGTTTTGAACTCAGGTTGAGACAATACCTCTGTCCACTGAGCCATCTCATTGGCCTCTAGCATGCCTTTTATAAGCAGTCTGCTTCACCTTTGATATTCATTATATTTTCAATAATTTACAAAATCAAATAATTCAGAATGACAGTAGGTAAATCACAATGTAAACCTTTTCTTGCCAGAGGAAATACTACAACACTATTTTGAAATACAGAAAGCTATCTCGTTATGTATATTTTAAAAAAAAATATCCAGTACTGGAGATTAAACTCAGGGCCTTGTGCATGCTAAACAAGTGCTTTACCACAGAGACAGGAGCCACATCCTCAGCCCCTGTTCCTTGTTGTTGTTGTTGTTGTTGTTGAGATACCATCTCACAAAGTTGCCTAAGTGGGCCTTGAACTGATGCTCCTCCTGCCTCCACTTCCTGAGTAGCTGTGATTATGAGTGTCATCATGCTCAGTCGCTAAATATAATTTTCTTTTGGGGGAAAAAAAAAGGAAGACAGGCATAGTGGCTCATGTCTATAATCTCAGCATTTCAGAGGCTAAGGAAGAAGGATTGCCATTAGTGCAAGGTCAAATTGAACTTCAGAATGAACTAGGCCTCCTTACACACACACCAGTAACTCCAAGTTCAAGACCAGCCTGGGCCACATCATGAGACCTTGTCTCGAACAGCAGGAAGGGGGCCAGCTAGATGGCTCAGCAGGTGGCTTGCCGCACAGCCTGATACCCTGAGTTTAATCTCCCAAGCTCACGTGATGGAACAAGAAAAACAATTCCTGGAAGCTCTCCTCTGACTTCCACGTGCACACACTTACTTGCACAAAATAAATGTTAAATGTCGGGGGCCAGGCTCGACAAAAATACCTTTCTTCCAGAGTGGAGGCGTGGGATTTAGAAATATAGTAAAGAAGACACAAACGAAAATAATGAAACGCAAAAATATATAGGATAGTATTGGGAGGGAATTTCAGCGAGTACTGAAAATTCGTCTATGTTTAATTTCCAACTGGTTAATATATCCCTGACTACAAAAAGTAGGAGTAGAACAAAAGAACTACATTAACATACAAGTTGAAAGTCATGAGGTACATTCATCACCATGTCTTTGACTGGAGCCCTAGACCAATCACTCTGTAGGCAAACCACTCCCTGGGTGGAATCCCAAGTTATTTCCATAAACGGAACTGGAACTTAGTTGGATCCTTAGACTTTTGTTTTAGGTAGGAACCAAGTACTTCCCAGGTCCGGCAACTAGCCACACCTGTTGACAATAGCCTTGAGAGAGCAGAACTCTTTGAGTTAGGAAGCACAACCTCAAAACAACTAAAAACAAGTCCCAAAATCTCTGACCTTTGGCCTCTTTGGGCCTCCACAGTGAAAGAAAAGAAAAGAAAGAAAGAAAGAAAGAAAGAAGAAAGAAAGAGAAAATTCAAACAGCAAAAAAAAAAAAGGTCCTCTTGCATAAGTAAAACACAACTGTTATAACCTTTCAAATCCAGGTGTGACTTGGTGCCTATCCTGTTTAACCTGTTTAAACCCCTGGCTTTGATTGCTAATGCCAAAACCACAAATAAAAATAGAAAGACAGATGATGGATGGATGGATGGATGGATGGATACATAGACAGAATGGAACAGGTGACGGAGACTTCAGAAGCCCATTCTGTGTCACTGGTTCACTGCTGCTGATATCTGTCCATAGGAAAGGGGCCTTGAAAACTCTCTGCAGGCCAGTGAGCAGCATTACCAGATGCAACTGCAAGATCTGGAGTCGGTGGTTGACAGACTAGAGAAGGAGCTGCAGGAAGTGAGGTGTGGCATCGAGAGGCAGCTTCAGGAGCATGAGATGCTTCTCAACACGAAGATGCGCCTGGAGCAGGAAATTGCCACCTACCGCCGCCTACTAGAACAGGAAGAGCTCAGGTACCTGAGTCTGTATCGCTAATGGCACAGGGTGGCATGGGGTCACATTCACAGAGCCACTGTTGATGCCATCAGAGAAACCAAATCCAAAATAAAGCCCACCGCCACCACAGCCGTTCACTGAACTCCTATGGCAAAGTGGGATTAGCACACCCTCCAGGTAGCATGAAGAACTATGTCCAGCCTGCTCAAACCAGCACATTCATAGCCAGAGTTGGCTGTTACAACTCTTGTTCACTAAGGTGGTTTTTCTTGGCCTTCCCACTTTCTCCATTGCTTCTCTCTTTTAGAACTAGTCTGCATTTCATAGACCACTCCCAAAGAAGTTTGGTGACTCACAACCTGGCCCTAAGTTCCCACCCCACCCCACAGTGAACACCAAAATGATATTACTATAGTTAGGGGGTGGGACTCAGTTAACGGAGAGGCTTGCTCAGGATGCATGAAACACTGAGTTTTCCCCAGCATCACGTAATCCAGGCACGCACGCCAGTAATCCCAGCACTCGGGAAGTGGCAGCAGGGGGGTCAGGACGTCAGGAGGTTCAAGGTCATCCTCAGCTCTCTGGCAAGTTGGAGGCCAGTTTGAGTTCCAAGAGACCTTCTTAAAAAATGAAAAAGAGTAATAATGTGATTCTGCTAAAGCAAGGAAAGCAATACTGTCTCGAGCCCTATTTATTTATTTATTTATTTATTTTATTTATTTTTTTTTTTTTTTGATTTTTCGAGACAGGGTTTCTCCGTAGCTTTTGGTTCCTGTCCTGGAACTAGCTCTTGTAGACCAGGCTGGCCTCGAACTCACAGAGATCCGCCTGCCTCTGCCTCCCGAGTGCTGGGATTAAAGGCGTGCGCCACCACCGCCCGGCTCTCGAGCCCTATTTAAATGGCTTCAGGTACCCTGAGATAAAAAAAAAAAGTTAAAGGGGAATTCTTATTTATTCAATTTTGTATTTTACAACCATTTATAAGGCCTGAGACCCTAGAACATGGCATTACCTCCATGTCTCCATATTCCCATGACAATAAATCTTTTTTCTTGCTTGTTTCAGAATTCTGAGTCTTCTGCAAAACGAGATGGAATAAGTTTAGCCTGTGATAAGCCTTGGCATTTCTTAAATCCTTCAAAATCATAAACTGAATTCAAAATATACCACTTACTAGCTGAGTGACCTTGGACAAGTTACTTAACCTCTCTATGCTTCTCCTCAGCAAAGTGAGAATAATAGTATCTACACCACAAGATTACTTTAGGATCTAATGAGCTAACATCTGTAAAGTGCTTAAAGCACTACCTAGCACATTGTGCTTTGTAAGAAATATATGATTTTATATATAGTGTGAATGTAATATATTATTAAATAATGATCATAGATGGCAATTCCTAATCATTTGAGATATTGACAGATTGGTTTTTAACATTTTAATAATCTTCTAAATTTGTATTATTATATTTGATATAAATACAGGCAGATACAAATGAACAGTGTTATTACACAAAAACCAGAAAATATAACGAACAATGTTATTAAGTAGTAGAGTTGTATTCCTATGACTTTTGAGGTCCTACATGTTAACATACTTCTAGTTTCTCCAGTCTAAGATGTTATATTTTCTGGGAATCTAAACACCGCCCCTTTGCCCTCCACCCCCCACCCAACCTTAACCCACACCCACCCTGCTAACTCCGAATTTGATATTTAGTAGACTCACACAGCTCTTTTGGTAATATAAATGCCTATCTATACAATGTAGAAAATCGGTCTGTGTATTGTCTTAACCTTTATGAAACTAGCTCCTAGTGGCCCTCCACTCTTCCTTGTGCCTGGAAGGCTCACTGACAAAGACACTGCATGGCCTCGCTCATCACTGCTGAAGAAGTATTTCCATTGTGTGAGCGTAACAACTTACCCATTCTCTTGTCTATTTTCTTTCTGTTTTTGTCTTTTACTACTGCAGTGTTGTTTCCATGACTCTTTCCATTTCAGATATTATGGTTGTATCCAAGGAGAGAAAAAAGAAGAAAAACCTACCAGGAGTAAAGTCGGCTTTCTTCTGCCCTCAGGTGAGTTTCCCACACTATAGACTAATTTGAAAACCGGCCTGTTATTTGTGGAGGTTATACAGACAATTCTCCAAAGCAGCAAGAGAAGGAATTTCAGTACTTCAATGTTGTGATTTCCCACCCCCACTTTATGTCCCTTTTCTTTTCCAACGTTGTAACTTAATGTAACATTTTCACAGCCATTATAAATGAAATATCTTTTTCAACGAAAGTCTCACAAAAGTACGAGAGGGAAAACGGGGAGACCACGACCAAACAGGCAGTGTTAAATGGGAACGTGAAGGAGAGCGCGGAAGCTCGCGGCACCATTCAGTAAGTAGAACTGCTTGGACTACGAAGCAGTGCTAAAGTGATGACATTCACTTCAGCAGCCTTCCAAAAACTTTCAATAAACTGTGTTTTTTCAGGCAGACACGAATAGACACAAAGAACAACACAAACAAGACTGTGAAAAGAATTCATTTTTTTTTCTAAAACTAAAATCAGATCATAAAAATTGTGTAGAGTCCCAGCATCTGGGAAGAAGAGGCAGGTAGGTCTCTGTGAGTTCAAGGCCTGCCTGGTCAACAGAGTGAGCTCTAGAACAGCCAGGGCTACACAGCAAGCCCCTGTTTCAAAAAAGGTAAAAATAATTGTGTAGAAATTCCACAGAATTCCATATTAAAGATTATATTTTTGTGATTCTGGTGTGGAGAGATGGCTGTGGTAAAGATGGTGGCTCTCAACCATTCGCTACTCCAGTTCCAGGGAATCTGACCTCCGTGGGTGCCAGGCATGTACCACTCGGTACACATACATGCAGACAAAAGATACACATAAGCAAATCTAAATTGTTAAAATCTCGCAATCTATATATTACACATATTTCTATTCATAAATATGAACTAGGCATTGTCTCTATCTCTTCTTCTATTAAAAAAAGTTTTTATTTTCTCATTTCAGGACAGAGAAAGTGGATGAAGTTATAAAAGAGTGGGAAGGTTCATTCTTTAAAGATAACCCCCGGCTGAGGAAAAAGTCTGTTTCTCTTCGATTTGATCTCCACTTAGCAGCCACCGATGAAGGCTGTTTACAGAGCAGACAGGATAATCTGCCAGACATTGAAGTCAGGCTCATCATGAGAAGATCATGTAGCATCCCCTCCATCAAGCCCCCACCAGCCACCAACTAACCCAGAATAGTTTCTATCAGACACTAGGATGGACCCAGGTTGGCCATGCCGATGCCCAGCCCCGAATGTAAGTTATTCCATGTGTATGGATGATGTTAAGATGCTGTGGGCTGTGGATCTCCTCAGAGAACACATATAATAAGAGGTAAAGTTGCTAGGCCTCCAAAGACGAGCATATTTTTTTGGAACGGGGAGTGCTTAAAAATAAATCAGAAATTCAGTGTGGTTTCTGTTTTATTTATCATCCAAATAGTCTTTATCCTGCTGAGTGTTATCAGAAACTTGAAGGATAAAGCGACTTGGTTAAGTCTGTGATTTCCCTCCATGGCTAAGCATCCTCAAGATAATAAAACAGCTGGTCTGGATACTCAAAGAGTCACACTGGGTTACTCTCCATGGTCTCAGGACCACAGAACCTAAAGGGTTTGTCCTTCTAAAAAGACAGCAGGTAGGAACAAACGTGTAAGGAGTGCACTCCGTACTCTTAGGGTTTTTCCTTTTGAGACAATCATTTGAACCCTGGGAATTGAGAAGTGGTCCGTCTGCGAGCAATTCTGGATGAAGTATAGAGCACACCTCAAGGCTATTTTGATGATTAATAAAATTGGGGTGTCCTATCCTGATTCTTTTAGAATCAGTATCTGATTTGCAGGAGAGTCATTTCGTTGAAAGAACTGTAAAAGTTGTATTCTTTTTTTTTTTTTTTTTTTTTTTTTTGGTGTTTTTCAAGACAGGGTTTCTCTGTGGCTTTGGAGCCTGTCCTGGAACTAGCTCTGTAGACCAGGCTGGTCTCGAACTCACAGAGATCCGCCTGCCTCTGCTTCCTGAGTGCTGGGATTAAAGGAGTGCGCCACCATCGCCCGGCTAAAAGTTGTATTCTTACACACACACACAAACACACGACTGCACAAACAACATTCTAAAGCTAATTGAAAAGGTGATTACTCTAGTTACTAGGACACCCAACTGCTCATCATCTGAACTCTTCCATCCAAAACGCCATGTTAGTAGCATTGGCTACAGCCTTAGAGAAGGTCCTCTCTGAACTAGGAGAAAGAGTTCTTACAGTCATTTCTGTGAAGTAGCAGCATAGCATTGCTAGCTGGGCTAAGAGTGTCTGTGGGACTTGTTCTCAATTGTTCAAACTGCAATAAAGGTGTAAAACATATTTATGAATAAGTGGAGAGTTGTTGCAAGATTTCTAAAAACAACATAATTTGTTTAATGCAGGTATATTGGAGACCTTAGATAATAAATACCTGTTTTAAGGCACTAGGTAGTTATAGGCTTTTTTTCCCCCCTAAACAACAGAAGGAATACAAACCACTGTTCTGTTTCCAGCTGAAGAATAAGGGCTACAGCTATGCTAGCATTTTAGTGCAGCCTTCAAAATCATTCCCCCATCCCTCCCTCTCTCCACATGCGTGTACATATATGTATATATTTTGACCAGTAAATAGGCTTTAGCCACAAAAATTGTTAAGTAACTTTTAATATAATACAGGGATTTAACATGTCTTTTTCTTTCCATTACCTCAGGTTCCTTTTAGCCTGACTCACTCTGTTTAGTAGAAAGGAATGATGTGGTTTTATCAAGGATACAGCAGCATATTAACTGCTTAGTCTTGCATAAGCATCTGAACTAAAATTGCATCCTGTACATAAAAATGTATCTTTTGGGCTAGAGGCATAGCAGGGCGGCACTGGGTTTGGACCTCAGTACAAAAAAGGAAAATTTCATTCATCATCAAATGCTACAACTTTATTAAAGAAAGCTCTGACGTGCAGTCATATAAGCTGTTGTACTGTTTACTGTCCTATTCAACGATGACTATGGTAAAGCGATACATTTAGTGTAATCTACTGCCGTACTGTTAGTACTGGGCATTGTGAATTAACAGCTTGCTAGAGAAATCCCACTATGCAGCTATTGTGTGTGTAACATGCAGTACTTGAATTTGTAAATGAGTTTTGTTTGCTTGAAAGCATTTTAAAATCGGAATATGAATTTACCAAAGCAAATGATACCGCTATAATAAAAAAAAAATTGAAACATGAACTCTAAGGCTGCCTTGTATTTGAGCTCTCTTACTTCAAAGCTGTCTGTGCCTGGCTAAGGCAAACAAAGCTGGCTCACTCGAGGAAGAAAGGAAACTGCAGTCACAGCAGGTGGTGGGTTTAACCAGCACTTCAGGGTGTCCACAGCGCACACCTCTAATCCCAGCACTTGAAAGGCAGAGGCAGGAAGAGCTTTTAGTTCCCGGCCCAGCCTGAACTACATGGTGAGATCCTATGCATACACACACTTCTCACAACCATAATTACAAAACCCTGGAAAAGTATGATAGTGGAGAGCATTGTTGGCAACGTTCTTGCAGGATTCCAGGCACTGCAGTCAGCGGATCATCTGCAAGCCTCACTGTCCTCTCTGCCAGGGGAATAGAAATGAATATTCCTCCATCTCCTGAAAATATTCCAAATGCACTAGTTCATAACAAAATACAAAAATAAAGAGTAATTTCAGTTACTGACAATTGGAGGATCTGAGCCCCAGCTCTGCCAATAATCGACCAGATGAGAGGAGAGTTTGCTCTCTGTCTCTTAGGCCTCAAGTTCACACCTGAAGACAAAGAGAAGACCATGCTTGCTTCTAAGTGCTGCCTTCCCTGCAGTGATATTTTGTTTACGTTTTAACAAATAAAGCTGAAAAGCTAATAAGTCACTAGAGGCCAGGGAGTGGAGGCACACATCTTTAATCCCAGGAATCAGGAGACAGAGGTGGTCAGATCTCTGTTAGTTCAAGGCCACCCTGGGCTAAACAAGATTGAATGTATCTAAAAGAGAAAGAGAGTTTACATAAAAGTGACCCCAGCACTTGAGATCCCACGCCTTTAATCCCAGCACTCAGGAGGTGGAGACAAGTGCTGTGGCTGGGTGGTGAGAGGAATTCAAGGCTGGAGGAGACAGAAGGGAGCTCAGGGCAGTCTGAGGTTTGGTGGAGACAGATGCAGTTTGAGGACAGGATCGCCCTTCTGTCTAAGCATTGGTACCAGTAAAAGAACTCTCCAGTGTCTGGCCTCTCTGCTTCTCTGATCTTCAGCACTAACCCTTATATCTGACTCTGGGCTTTTATTATTAAGACCAACTAGAATTCGAGGTACACTTCCCTGCCTCACAGCTGCTTGAACTAATATGCACACTGAAGTATCCAGCAAGGATATTCAAATGTACAATTTTACTTAATGAAAACAGACTCTGGAAGTAAAGAATTTGTGAGGAAAATCATAACTGACAATGATTAAGCAGTAGTTCAAAGCATAATAGCTATTTTAAACTCAATTATTTCAGAAAATTATTCCTTCCTGGTAAAGTATCCAATTTTTACTATTCTGACATGACAGTCTTTGAAGTACAAGTGATGTCTAAAGAAAAAGAAATGATTTTTATATTAAAGTTTAAAATAAATTATTTGAAAATGATTTTTATCTATTGTATATATGTGATGTTATTGCATTTCTCTGTCTGCATGTGAGCATGTGGAGGTCAGAGGACAATTTGCAGGGGTTGGTTCTCTCGTTCCATATGGGTGGATCCTGAGGCTCGAACTCGGTCATCAAGCTATGAAGCAGGCACCTTTACCAGCTAAGCCATCTTGACAGCCCCCTTTCTACATTTTTGAAATCTTAAGATCTAGAGGAAGAACCAAAGGGGAATAACAAGATCACCATCCGTTAATTTCACAGATAATAAGCATCTAAATAAATCACCCATTGTTCAAGATATCAAATATCCCCACGCCTAGACAATGAACTACAGGCAACCAAGGAATGCTGAGAGCAAGAGGAAGTCCTTCCCAGGGACAAACGCCCTAACGGGTTATCCAATACCAAAAGGTCAGCTCTGAATCATGTGACAGGAACACTAACTGAACTGAACAGGTTGTGTTCATATAGTTATGTGATCACACACACACACACCCCACAGCACGGTGCGACCCCACCTCCTTTTCTACCACTGCATCCTACAATCGTTGAGGCAGGGAAGTAACAAGACTCCCCTGAGTTGCTGAGCAGATCAAAGAAAGAGGATACCGGGTCCCTGATGTGACTTTGTGGGTCCTACATTCACCTTCTGGATGCTTTTTATGCCAAAACCAATTCCAGATACATTCTCTCATGCCTCTCCTTCTTCTGCCAAACTCTCTTTAGTCTTTGCTTCCAATGCGCTCTTTCATTCCATTTATTTCTACTCATGGGTATGAAAATATTGGGCGATGGAAGAACTGGACAGTGTTATCACTTATCCCTGCTCTGAAGGGCCGACGGGTAGCCCCAGAATTCAACCAGTTTCTCTAAATGCTAACATTGCCCTTAGATAACCACGGGTCATCTAATCGTTTTTTTTTTTTTTTCTCCACCATGACCCACATCTTCCAGGTACTTGGAATTAATAAAATGAGCCTTGGAATGGTCCAGAAAGGTGCCGCTACACACACTAGCTGAACACCTAATTATGAAAGTAGTCCTTAGAAAACACTGGTAATTATGAAATTGTCCAGTTCGGATGTCTGAACCTTTGCTTTCAAGACTTTCCAGTAGTACAGATGGCCCAGTCCCATATAGAGGGTATCAAGACACAGGACTACAAAGAGCCTGGGAAAGTTCCCGGGTGGCATCACAAACAGTTGAGCTGGCTATCTGCAGGCAGGTGAGGCTAATCGGAATTGGTTCTCCTGGAAAGACATGTAAATTGTCCCAGGTATGCGACCTGGCGAGAGTGAGCTGACAGCTGCGGACCCTAGGCTCAGAAACCCGTCGCCATCACTCAATCTCTAGAAGCATCTAGAAAACTACAAAACTCCCGTGTTGCTTTTCGCTGAGGCTTCTGAGGCAGGGAGCCCCGCTGGGCGCCGGCGAGAACCTAAACGCGGCGACCCGAGTCCTCCCCGCCTCCATCCTCCAGCCTGCAGCGGCGGCGTACTGAGGACCACAGCGAAGGGGATCGCCGGGGTGCGGGAGCTGCGTCCCGCCCTCTCCCGGCAGAGGCTCCGGCGTGCCTTCGCCCGGCGAGGGTCTCACACGGTGCCACCACCGCCTCGGTGGATCCCTGCCGCGCTCCCGGCGGCGCAGTTCCTGCCGCCCGGCCGCGAACCAGGGCCCGCAACGCGGCCCGGCCTTCTCCGCCCTCCTCGCCGTGACGAATCGGCGCCCGGCTGGGATAGGATCCGAATTGGAAGAGTTCTGAGGAAACTGGAGAGCCTGAAAAAAAAATCCTCGGCTGCACTAAGTCTCGCCACGTCCTCACGGGAAGGGCTATTCGTCTGAGGAGAGCCGGCCGCGGCCCGCAGAGAAATCCCGGAGCGTGTGGAAAGTGCGAGCGCGGAAGCTCCGGCGCGAGGGGCGGGGCGAGCGCGGGACAAAGGGAAGCGAAGCCGGAGCTGCGGGCGCCTTTTCGGCCCGCGGGTGAGTGTTTCCAAGTGGGTCCGACCCGGTCTGGGAGGGTGGCGGACCGTGGTGTGTCGGCTTGGCGGGACCCCGAGTTCCCGCGGGGTGTTGGGGGTCGGGCTCAGCTCCGAGGCGGGAACTAGGGCCGATGCGGCCTCTGTGAGGCCTAGCGGCGGCGGGGTCACAAGGAAGCCCCATCCGGGACAGCTCTTCCGAGGCGCCACTTTTCCCTTTCCGCTGGACCTCGGACGCTGGCCGAGCACCGATGCACACCCCCCTGCGGGGAAGTTGTCAGAAAAGCTCAACCTCGGCCACTAACTCAGGGGGTGGGGACCTCGGGAAGCCCTCCGAGCAAGGCCAGCGGGGGGCCCTCACCCACCTGGAAAGTGGTTCCCTTTTTGGTTCAGGCAGCGACCTAAAGACTTCCGAAGTGGCCTGGAGTGAGGAGTGAACTCAGAGACGGCGTGGGTTGGGTTTAAACCCACCCCTGGCAGTTCTGGGCCCACGGCTTTAGTCACTATCTTAATGGCCCTGAGACTGTTTCTTGGTTTGTAAAATGAGGACAGCCGTCAGTGTCTGGTAGGGTCGTTGTGAATAGTGAGCGAGACTGTGTGATAAGCCTACCTTGTAAAGGTGATTGATTAATTAATTATTCAACAGATACTAAGTTCCATGCCAGGCACCAGGGTTAGATCCTCTCTTACGAGTTACGGGAGAGCAATCAGGTGTTAGCCTTGAAGTGTAAGGGACTAGGGACCCTGTTACAGTTTCTTTCGGGGCTCCCCACAGCAAGGCCTACTGGGTGTTGATGGGAGAAAAGAGAGGCCTGGGCTGAGAAACTTGAGTTCCCGCATCAGAACTCTTACCCCGATGATGTGAGGCATTTTCTTAAAATGAAGACTAGAAGAAAAAAAAAAGTGTTGTACGTAGCGATGGGTGAACGGACTCCAGTAAGCATAGTTTATTCACCTTTCTAAAAATGAATTTTCATCATTACCGTTTGTGGTGTGTGTTGAGTAAGGAGCGGGCTCACATCTGTCCATGTTGTGAGCTGATAGTACTAGGACCAAATCTGTGAAGAATTGAGCTAGGTTTGAGCGATACAATAATAAATTAGACCATCCCTCCTTTCTTTCAAGACAAAACCGAGCCATATTGGCCTATCGTGTAAGGGAAGATGCCATTGATCTTTGTAACCAGATAAGAATACAGAGAAGATGCAGTTGTTCTGCCCAGATAATTTATCAGGAAAGTACCTGAGTAATTTCTGAAATGGGCTCTAAAGGACCAATAAGAGTCATTCCAGTAGACTCTGAAAGTGTGTTCCCTCACTTAGGAAACTGTTTACCAACAGAAGAGAACGTAAAGGTCGTTATCATACCAAATTATCTTTCACACTGTTTCCAGGAAATAGACTTTTGCTCTGTCTCAATAAAAGATGGCCCCTAAAAAAAATCAGAGCTGCTGGTTGGGGATTGGTCAGCGTCTGGTAGGCCTTGTTGGGGTCACCCTGATAATACATCCCATTCTATTGTCATTGTTTTTTTTTACCAGTCTAAGCAAACGTTTGCATGGCATCAGCAAAATGTTTTCCATACAAGACGTGGCTCAATATCATAAGCAAAAACTCAAAGATCCATTTCTAATACAACTCTAAATTTCCCAGTAACTTTATTCATTTAATTCTGATCAACCAAATGATTACAAGAACTAGTTAAAAATATGCAAAAGGCTTGATTACTAGCAATTAATAGTGACGTAATTCTGCTCAGAAATACCAATCAAACTACCCTATTCTTTAGGAAAACATTCTCTTATGCTTGCTGAGTTTTGATTCTCTTTTTTTTTCTTTTTTTTCTTTTTTTTTATTTTAGTGTCTCAGATTCATTCTTAAGGAACTGAGAACTTAATCTTCCAAAATGTCAAGTAAGTTTCAATTTTTATATTTATCAATCTGTGTTAATACGAGACTAATGCCCTAGCAAATGGGAATTCCAAACTACTCTCATTTTTTTTTCTTCAAAACAGGACCATTGGTAGTTTTGTTGCATAGTATTATATCTCAGTTGTTTACAAGAAGTTATTTATTTTCTTTCAAACAGAAAGACCATCTTATGCCCCACCTCCCACCCCAGCTCCTGCAACAGTAAGTTTTAATTTTCTTGTTAATGTAATAGCCAAGTCTGGCCTTGATACAAAAACCCAGATGTCTTCCAGTGACAGTCACTCAGTCATCACAGCCACAAGATAGAAAATTCTGCTAAAAATCAGCACTTCCTACTAAATAAAATAATTCTTTTCATCCTACTTTGAACCAAACCCAACATCTAAAATTACATACTGTGAGCTTCCAACCTCCTGTGCTCTGTTTTTTTCCTAACGGGAAATGAATGAAACACTTCTTCCTTGTTTTCCCTGTTAAAGAGTCTATGCGTTGATTAGATGCTCACTCTGGCATTATTTGTCCTTTTGCTGTTGTTGATTTTAACCCTAACCTTCAGCTGGTTATCACGTTTTTTCTCTCCCTCTAAGGCTAGGGACATAGCTGAGTGCAGAGCGCTCGCCTAGCATGTGCAAGGCCCAGGTTGGAGCCCCAGAAACACAAATTTTTTAATTAAACTTTCTTGTCGTATATATAAAATTTTCACATTAAATAAACTTTTTAGTTCTGAAGATAACAACACTCATCATAAGTCTTATTTTCAAGCTGCTCAAGTAAGAATTTCATTACCCGTGGGTCAGAACTTGCTGCTGAATTTTGTTCTTCTCCATAAATTATGCCGATTGGCCTACTGATCTGTTTCAAAGTGTCTGATGGTGGAAACTGTTTTCTCCCAGCAAGCTCTAGCCCTGCTTGATCAGCATGTAAAATAATCGCCCAGTCCACAATTCAGATTTCACAGCAGCTGTGCAGGCCCTTGTTGATATGCTGAAATGGCTTTCTTACCATTTAAAAAACAAAAATCACTTAGCATAACCATATCCTACAAAATCAGAGTCAGGGTTATTTTTATTTCTTTTGTTTTGTTTTGAGACAGGGTCTCTATGTAGCCCAGGCTGGCTTCGAAATGGTGATCCTTCTGCCTCGGCCTCCCAAATGCTGGGATTAGCAGCATGCCCAGCCCCAAATTAATTCTTTAATATCTGCTAGCTCTTCCTTCCATCCCTCTACCAACTAATTTCAGGCTAGTCTCCTTTTATTACTAATGAGTTCCTTTGTCATTTTGTTTTCTCCATTAGGTAACTAGTCTGATTTACTAACCTGTAGGTGAACGTTTTAGTTATATTTATTTATCAGCAGTTTGTTTCTCCTGAGATGATTTTTTAAAAAGTGCATCATACATTCTTAAGTTCACTTCATGTGATACAGTCTGTAAAGTTACTTTGGTAGACTGTAAAGTCTTGTGCTTCATTATTTTCTTTCTTAAAGAATAATTCTTACCACCATCTCCATCACATGCTCATGGCTGTGTAAAGATTGAGTTGAGCGATGAAGAGCCTCAAAGCTATAACTAGGCCCTTCAACTTTAGAAATGGTATAGTTACCATATGCTAGTTTCATTTTTTTAAATCCCCTATTTGCTCACGTTATTGACTCATATTGAACTCTCATTCTTTATGCAGTGTTTGGAGGTATCATTTTATATAAATAGTGCCTCCAGGTATCATTTTTATATAAATAGTGCCTCCAGTAGTTTATATTAACAAACTTGCTATTTATTTTTTAAATAAAGATGTTTTAAAAACTGGATCCCCTCCTGAGTTTCATACAAAGAAGAGGATCTTTTTTTGTCCCTCGTACCATAATTTCACATCTTCACACAAAATCCAGGAGCTAGGAATTCTAACATCTAGTAGAATGAATATATAATGAGTTAGCCGCTCTCTCTCTCTCTTTTTTTTTTACTCCATTGCTTTTCCCACCATCACCACCACCCACCCCTCCACAGCCACCACCCAGATGAACCACTCCATGTGTTACATGCACTTCTTTTGTGCCTTTACTATTTCATCTGTGTTTTGCTACTTAAATATGCTTAATTTGCGTCTTTTCTAACTATGGGCTATAATTGATCACCTTGTTCTCCTCTAAAAAGTATCACATGTGCTGCCTGCTTGAATGAATGTCTTTGGACACTAAGGATATGTACAAGGGCATGTTTTAGAAAATGACATTGATTTTGTGACAACTAAAGTCTAGTGGGGATGTGTCAAGCGTACTCTTGTGTAATCAAGGAGAGCTATGTTAATTGCATGTAAAAATGACATTGCTATCACTTACTATGATTGAGTTTGACTAAGTATACATTTTTGGTTTCTCTTTACTACATTTTTTAACGCATTTTGTCTTGATTTTTATGAACATTGGATGTCATTGTATTAACCACAAGGCCACAATCACATAAGAACCCATTTGTGATTTTATCAACACATAATTCACAAAAATCAAGAATTTTGTCGCTGCAGCGAGCAGTTGTATTTGGAAAGGCTGAGAGCCTTCAGGAAATCAGATGAAAAAGAAGTTCCAGTCTGGCAACTAAAAAGACGTAGTTCCCATTAAAATTAAATGCATGATCACCTATGGAAGATGGATCAAAGAAGAGATGGAAGAGAAAGCCTATGAGAGAATGACTGGGTTAAAGATCAGATAGTACCCCAGTATGAAATCTCTGCATTTCTTACAAGTCCTTGTTTGAAATCATGCATGTGACATCCATTGAATCCAGCATATGTTCTTTCCTACTGACAATTCCTGGCCTCCCGATTTGAGTCTCTCTTCTCATTTGTCACATATAAAATTACTTAAAGCTGTCTTTGAAAGCAGATCCATTTGTTTTTGTTTTTAGTAAATGAGTGCATTGGTGGCATCCATATAACTGTCCAATAAATCATGTTTTGTTTGCATGTAGTGTTTTCAGACTTAAAGTTTATCATACTTGAAGCTTTCCCATCTCAGACATCACAGATTGCCAAATTCTTATCTCATACTGTTGACCATGAAGTAGTTGTAGATGTTTGAAACTGCAGTGTGATGCCTTCCTCAGAAACAAAACACAACATACTTTGTCTCACAAGCATCCTTAACCCCCACCAAGGAAAAGAGGGAAAGAGAAGAAACATGCACAATCTCACATGCACATGCATGCACATACATACTTGCAGGCTGGTTTCTCAATTTAAAAAAACTTAATTTCCGCAACAATACCAAAAAGAACAATTACAACACATCATTGCTTGTTTAAATTCAGGTTGCTTTTGCATGCCATATTGCAGATCATTTTTCATTTCTGTGTTTTCCTCGTTTGAGCTCATTTCTCATTCGTGTTTTTGTCTCATTTGTTTCCATCAGCAAATGCCCAGCACACCAGGGTTTGTGGGATACAATCCATACAGTCATCTCGCCTACAACAACTACAGGCTGGGAGGGAACCCGGGCACCAACAGCCGGGTCACGGTAGGAGAATCAACTATTACAGCCTCCGGCAAACAACTGGAATTGACCAGAAATGCCTCCAGAGTTAGGTCCTTTTGAATCAGAAGCACAGCCATTTAAAAAAAATTTAACCTGACTTTTCAACTGTTTTGTACAGTCTTACACTGGAAAAAAAAAAGTGCAGTCTGGATATATACTTAGGAGAAAAGAAATCCATTCTGTTTGGTGATCAATAGGGATTAAGCCTTAAACACTTAATGCTCATACTATCTATGTAAACAAATCTCGAATTCTTTTGGTTAACATACTTTATGTCATGAAGAGTGTCTTTTGTTGTCTAAGGTAAATTGGTGGCGGTACTCTCAAGGATGTAGTTTCTTAAGGAATGCTTGGACTAGACCTGGCTTCATCTGGACTAGAAACTTCAGGCAGCCCTGCCCATCCAAACTGCCGCACTCAGCTATTTGTCTTTTGGATTTAGTGATTGACCTATCTGAGACTCGCTTCTTTCCAGTTTAACACAGAAAAAGATTTTACTGTCACCTCAAGGAATTGCAGAATAAAACTTGAATTCTTGGTGTCAGATAAGTACAACTGGAGGTCTGTTTCCAGTCTGTTGTGAGAAAGATGGTTCCTAAAATTTGGGGTGTTTCATTTAAGTGATCCAACTAAGATAATCAAAACTGGATACTTCAAAGCTTTTATTTTTAAATTATTTTAAACTCCAAGGAAATTAAGGTAATAAATCCAAAAGTCAAGTACCTCCATTAGAATGTGGTGATGGTGAGAATATATACAACACAGAATGGCTGTAATCTTTTTAGTATCTGGTTTTTCATTTGCTGTTTTCATAAAAAAGAAATGTAACTCAAAGAACAAAACAAAACCCTCTCACCCTGTAGTAAAGCTATAGTTGAAAACTCGTCACTATCAAACCGTGTGTCTATCTTGGTAAGCACATTGCTTAGCTTGATAGGTTTTGTTTGTCTAAATTTTTCATTGTTTCTGCATAATTTGTACTTCATAAGCATATCAAGTTCTATGTGCCATATGTATTTCACAGTATCTGAAAAGGATTCTGAAAAATATGTTTATGTGTGCATTGTGCAGTGCACATAGTTTCTATGTGCAGCAGTGTATGTTTTTCTTTGGCCTAAATGTGTTGTTTCACAAGTGTAATGAGTGGCAAGGTTATCGGATGAAAAAGAACATTATAATTCACATAGTAAGCAGAATTAGTTTTAGATCATTTGTATTAATGCAGAAATTTTATTTATGGGTATTAAGTAAGAATGATGATTTCTGAATCACTCCATACTTTAGTAGCCATGCTGATGAGCCAGTAGTCACTGTGATCCTAGAATAACTTGGTTTTGGGTTTGTATAAACAGCCAGTTCCTTACTTGTGGATAGCTGTGAGGCCTCTCTGTTGTTACAAAGTAAGGTCATTCAGTAGAAACCTGATTAGAAAAGGGAGAGTTCACTCCTTTCTGGACCTCGGCTGGTCACGTGTTTTCAACCCTTTCCCTCCTAGGGAGTAGAGAACTCGGTGCAGAGTGAGCTCTAGCCTTCAGGGTAGGGAGTGGGTTAGGAGTGAAATTTGGTGTGTGCCTTCTCTGTAGTTGTTTCTTTGTATTATTGTCCTTTTGTTCTATCACCTCCAGACTGACGTGTGAGCAGACTGCTGGAAACCTAGGGCTTGCATTCTCTTGTATGTCTGACTTAGTGTTTTGGGACTCAGATGCTTATAAAAAGGGTTTGTAGAGAATGACCCCAATGATACACTACTTGGTGAGCAATGTTCCTGTTGAGTAAATTGTTTTCTATAAATAACCATAGTGATTTGGTGAAATGATTCTGTGAAACTGCAGTCAAGAGCTGTCTTAACTTGTGGGTTGTTTTCAGATAATAAAGCATTAGGTACCTTTGGAGGATTAGGATAGCTTTGAGTGCAGCCCATGCCTGATTGGTTTGTTCAGGTGATGGTTCACAGTCTCTAATATACAGGATCGTAAACAGATTGAAATAGAGTGTTAAAAGTAGCCTACTTCTTGCTAGTAGAAATCCGGTCTCCAGAAGAAAATCCTTAAATAAGACCTTGCCAGAGAAACAGCTAAGAATTGAGAAATAACAAAAAATTCTCTTGTGCCATTCAAGATGAATCGACCACAAAATCATGGACTTTCTCCACAGATTGACCAGAACCTAACTCTTAGATCAGAACAGTTTTTACAAGCCTAAGTATTTGCTTCCCACCTCCAATTCATTGCAAATGGGAAGAAAGAAATTGGAAAGGTGGAGACTTGGTGCTACAGGTGGATTTCCTGATAGCGACAAGGAAAGGTCCTCATCGACGGCAGAGTTGAGCTCTCCAAAATTGTGCTCCTAGGCCACTTAGCCAAAGAGCAGGGCCGACCGCAGTTTTTCTTATTCACAGCACAGCAAGCACATAGTAGCTGTTCCTAGTTGACTCTTAACAAGAAAGGACGGAATACCGCACTCAGTGCAGAGTAGAAAAATGTTTGGAACATTTAGAAAGGAGTCTGAGATGTTAAGCAGATTGGTGATATGTGATGATAAACTTCTTTAGGGTCCCCAAGCCAACTGGAATTTCACTTATTATTCTTAGGGAGTAGGGGAAGTATTGTTTTGTGTTGTTTTGTTTTGTTTTTTATTTGTAATTCTGTTTGGGTCCCTTTTTTTGGAAAGGAGGTGAATTAGCAAATCTATTAATGTTCTAAAATGTGATTCTTTGGAAGATTTGAGAAAATATTTAAAAACTTTGTTTTTTAGCTGTTTTAATGTATACCCAAAGTTTGAAATGTAAACGTGTTAGAATTTTTACTTGTTAACGGTATTTTGGTCCCTTCAAATATGGGAACAACTTTATTTTGGTTTATTTGTCACTCACTTTGTATTCCAAAAGTTTGTCTGGGACTGGGTTAGAAATGTTTTCTAATCATGTCCTGTATTGGGAAGCAGACTTTCCATGCAAAGGTTAGCCGTGTAGGACTCTGACTTCTTAGGGCTCCTGCAGTGGTGCCTGCGTCCCTGATTGGCTACTCTAACCACTGTGACAGTGCTGCCTGCATGTCTCACTGCATTCCACCTCCCACTGCTGGTTAAGACCACATCTGTCTGTGGTCCGAGCAGCAAGGACTTGCCGGTATGTGTGTTGGTGATGGGAGTGAAGCAAGCAGTCCTCTCCCCGTTCTGACCGTGAGAGTCAGTGTCAGGGTTCCTTCCCCCGCCACGTCAGAGCCAAGTCTGATAGACCATCTTCCTTCTTATTCTGGCCCCTTCATCAGTGTGGAGATATGAAGAGGAGATAGAAAAGTTCAGAACTAGATGCCCTTGGAGTGGCAGCTTTATATATGGGGCATCTGCTGGAAGTCATCTGATGTCTCCTTGCCTGTGCCTCGCATAGACAGGACCAATCACTTTAAATATATTTTTTTAAATTTTCCTTTTTCTGTATCCTGTCCTTCCTTGTCCTCATTTCTTTTCCACAAAAGCAATTTTGTGGAATGGGCCTCAAAAGTAACATGAGCAAGGTCTGCCAGTGTCAGCACCTAATGCGCTTCCTTGTTTCCTTGTGGCCGGCTAATGAGGAAAGGACAGTGTGACTTGATCCACTGTAGGAAAACCGCTGCCCCAAGACTACAGAGACATGAAACAAAACTACAAGATAATGTAAAACCTTAAGAGAAATAAATCTATTTCTAAAGGATATATTTTATTTTTTTTTTAAATGTATTTGCTAGGTTTCTAGTTACCTCCTATTTCTTATTGGTGATTTTTTTTTTTAACGTGGGAGGTGGTCTTTATGTTATTTGTCTGGGGTACATTCCTGATATAACGAGATCCCCTGTAGGCAATGTGCGTATGGTAAGTGCTCAGAGTCTGCAGATATCCAACGTTGACTGTATGCGTAATAGTTACTGAGGAAATAAAAGGTAACGTCCTAAGTGTGAGGCGTTTGGCATATAATTCCATTCTCAGTGTATGAATTATGTATAATACTTTATTTTTGCAGCCAGGCTGTCCAACAGTGGAAATAAACTGCTAAGTAAAACATTAAATATTATGTGTTTAAAGTCATTTTCCTTTGATATAAACATTTCTGAATTTACAGTGATATCTATTTTCTTTGGCGAAAATAATAATCTTGTATCCATGGACGAGTAGAAGAAAGGCGCATTAGAATTTTTAAGGGGCTTTCTTTCAGGTGCTGGTGAGCTCCTAGCAATTGAAGAATGAATGTGTTTAACTCTTTTACAGGCGTCATCTGGTATCACGATTCCAAAGCCTCCAAAGCCACCAGATAAGCCGCTGATGCCCTACATGAGGTACAGCAGAAAGGTGTGTACCGGGGACCAGAAGATGGCCTTCCATGCCACTGCAGACAGGCTCGGCGTCGTCCTTACACAAAATAGGGGGAAGGATTAAGTGGTTCGTTCTGTTTCAGAGTTCCAGAACTCAGATCGAAGAGGAGCATGGTTAAATAAACTGCTAAAATCTTTTAAACAGATTAGTCTGTAGCCATGAGTAATACGTTTTAGAGAATATTGAAAGACATGAGGAAAATGTTAAGTAGAAAGGAGAATGTACCAGGTAGTGGTGGTGCACGCCTTTAATCCCAGCACTCGGGAGGCAGAGGCAGGCAGATTTCTGTTAAGGTCAAAGGCAGCCTGGTCTACAGAGCGAGTCTCAGGACAGACTCCAAAGCTACAGAGAAACCCTTTCTTGAAGAAAAAAAAGAAAGAAAGGAGAATGCAAGACTGTATATATTAATATCTTATTTTTATTAAGAATAATAATAAGTTTGAGGTGTAGTTCAGTAGTAAAACATGTGCCGTCAGAGCCCTTAGGATCAATTCCAAGGGCACAAAATGAATTAATTTGTAAGTATAATAAAAGTATTATTTTGATCCTAATTATTATTTCTGTGTTTGATAGTATGACGCCATTGTATTATACAAATTAACTCTTCTAGATTTGCTTGAACTGTTAGAGACATATTTAAATTGTTTGCTTAATTTGCTGTAAGCGTGTACTGTGATTAATGGTGTTCTTAAATTATCAATTTGAAGTATTTGAGTAAAATGACATGGTGTATGAGATCCACCAGGGTAAAGATGAAATGAGATAAGCCAGCTGTTGGCAGTTTTGAAGCAGGCTGATTGGTATGTGCTAGTTTGATACTGTCTTCTCTGCCTTTGTTTGTATTTAAAGGGTTCCATAGTAGAGTATTTTTAAATGACTATATACTTAGGCATTAATATTGAATTTTTAACTGTTGATTTTTAAGGTCTGGGACCAAGTAAAGGCTTCCAACCCTGACCTAAAGTTGTGGGAAATTGGCAAGATTATTGGTGGCATGTGGCGAGATCTCACTGATGAAGAGAAACAAGAATATTTAAACGAATACGAAGCCGAAAAGGTAGGGGATAAATAAAATATTTAAATGTAAATAAAACATTTTATTATTTGTGAAAGAAACATAAGGCTTGACCAGAAAGCTGAGGCAGCACTGAAGTTGTGTCCACCAAGCTCCACTCACCTAATGTCTGAACCTCGTGTTCTCTGTTCAGAAAGAGATGACTGTCATGACACCATGCTTTGCCTCGTGCCCCACATTCAGATGGCTGAGGCAGCGCATGGTAGCCTGTAGGACGTACATTATAAAACACCAACACCCTTTCAATTTCAGATAGAGTACAATGAGTCTATGAAGGCCTATCACAATTCCCCTGCATACCTTGCATATATTAATGCAAAAAGTCGTGCCGAAGCTGCGTTAGAGGAAGAAAGTCGACAGAGACAGTCTCGCATGGAGAAAGGAGAACCTTATATGAGCATTCAGCCTGCTGAGGATCCAGATGGTAAGGAGGGAAGTGGGGTTTATGTGTGCATTCTCTCTGAATTAAAATAGAAGATAAATCTTAATTCAAGGCTTTTATTCTATTAAATGGAAAGCGTAATTTTAAGTTAATTTCAATAATAGGATTTTAGAGTGTGGAAAATGAGTAACGAAAAACAGCTGCATGTGTTACTTTTCACTGTCTTTATACTCAATATAGGATTTGTTTGTTTTTTGAAAATAGGATCTCACTGTGTTGCTCAGATTTATAGTGAACTGGTTTCTCCAGCCTCGGCCTCCAAACCCTGGATTTTAGGCTTCTGTGGCACACCCTAAGTGATATTATGGAGTTTTTTTGTTTGTTTGTTTTGGGGGGTTGTTTTGTTTGGGTTAGTTGGTTAGTTCTTTTGTTTTGGTTTGCTTTTTGAGAGCAGGATATCTACACAGCCCTGGCTGTCCTGGAGCTCACTGTGCACTCCAAGTTGGCTTTGAACTCACAGAGATCTGCCTGCCTCTGCCTTGAATGCTGGGATCAAAGATGTGTGCTACCACGCCCAGATAACTTCTTTTCTAAAAATTTGAAGTAACCCAGTCTTTATTTTTTTAATTATGTGTGTAGCAAGCCTGTAGGTTTGTACATGTGAATCCAGCTCCTGAGGAGGCCAGAAGAAGGTGTCAAACCCTCTGGAGCTGGAGTTATAGGCTGTTGTGAGCTCCCTGGCATGGGTGCTGGGAACTGAGTGCTCGCCTTCTAGAAGAGCTGCACATGCTCTTAATTGCCATACCCAATCTTACTGATTTCCTAAATTTGCTGAATTAAAGGCTCTTGGAAGCAAAAATTAATGAGTGTGTGGAAGCATTATAAAACTTTATTCAAAATTTACTATGAATTTGAGAATACCACTTGAGATCACTCCTGAGTGTGTCATATATTACATGTAGACAGGGTATCATGTATTACACACATACATTACTCACAGATGGCCAGGCTTCCTAGTTAGGATTCCAAGTGCAGATGAGCAGATTACTCTCCGGGCCTCCGCAGCCAGGCAGTCTGTAACTATAAGGTGCTCCCAAGATAGTACCCTCCCTTTAGGAGCATGCTCATCCACTCACTTGGCATGCTGTGTAAATGTTTATTTGTCTCTGTGTCTTACTCCATGCTGAACAAACAGGATTGGAAGCAGCAATTACCAGCCACAAAAATTCCAGGATCATAATTTAAGATTCCATTTTTTTTTTTTTTTTCGAGACAGGAAGGGTTTCTCTGTGGTTTTGGAGCCTGTCCTGGAACCAGCTCTTGTAGACCAGGCTGGTCTCGAACTCACAAAGATCGCCTGCCTCTGCCTCCCGAGTGCTGGGATTAAAGGCGTGCGCCACCACCGCCCGGCCTAAGATTCCATTTTTAACACACCAGAGGGGTTCTTAAGAACTTTTAAGAGATTTAAAGAGTGGAGGAAGTTACAACAACACCAAAAGACAGGAATAAATTCAGCCAAGTAGGATGAAGGAGCAGAAAGGAGCTTCAGAAAGATTCATTGAGGTGTTACTGGCAAAAATTCTCATAAATACAGTAGGATGTAATAAAATTTGAACTAGAAACAGAAATTGAGTGTTAAGCATTATTAGTACTGCTAAAAGTCCATATGCAGACTTGAATTACCCGGATGAGGTGATTGATACAAGAAAAAGATGACTAAAACAATCAAAGAGCAAGTTTGCAATAACTGCGAGAGTGAATATGTCTATACAGTAGAAACAAAGGTTCACATCTTAGAAGCCATATGTAGAGAATAAAATATTTCCTAAGCAAAATATAACAGCAGGAACGAAGCTTGAGAGGCTCTTACATGAGCAGTAGCATGAGAAATAATTAAGAAGCTATATTAATATAATGTGACCCTCTATGACAGTATTTCTCAACTTTCTAATGTGGTCATCTTTTAATATAGTTCATGTGGTGACCCCCCCAACCATAAAATTATTTCATTGTTACTTCATAACTGTAATTTAGTACAGTTATGAATCATGATGTCAATATTGAAATGGAAGATATCTGATATGCGACCCCATGAAAGGGTCATTTGATTGCTCCAGCAGATTAAGACCCACAGGTTGAAAACCACTGCTCTAGAACTTGAGAGGTACAAATATACGGGAAAACCAAGAGATGGGAGCCATACATCAAGATACGAGGGCGACATCTGCAGACTCCTTAGAAAACTCTGAGAAAGTCCACAAGTCAGACCTTGATTCAAGCAAGATAGCAAAGGCTTTTTAAATGACTTCAGAGACCATCATGTGCAGCATGCGGGCTTCCATGTATAGCAGGGTTTCCTAAGCACAGCCCCTGTACACTAAGGATTTGGCTGTTTCTGAGACAACCTTTATTTTTATCTATATTGGAAGGAAAACTTGCTTTGTTTAATGAGTTAGTGTAAAGAAAAGTAGATATTAGTACAGATGACTCCCAGGTGGAGGTGATAAAGCAAGATAAAGGAGATACTTGTCTTCCAGAAATAAGCGCACATGCTAGGTACGGTAGGGCACACTTGTTATCCCAGACTTGAGAAATTAAGGCAAGCAGGCTGATACGAGTTCAAAGCCAGCCTGGGGTGCACGGTAGATTTTGTCTCAGAAAGATCACACATCCTGGGGCTCGAGGGCTTTCGCTGTACAAGCACACGGACTTAAGTTCAAATCTCCAGCACACATATAAAAGGCCAAGCATAGGATAGCTGGCACATACCCGTATCTCCAGCACTGGGGAGCTGGAACAGGCAGATTCTGGGACCATGGTGGGCTGTTAGTCTAGTCAAAATGGTGAGCTTCCGGTTCAGTGAGAGACCTTGTCTATAAGGCAGAAAGAGAAGAAGACACCTGTCATAATCTGGCCTCCACATGCCTGTGTGCACACTGCAGACCCACATACATGCATCACACATACCAAAAATAACAGCACCTTTATACGTTCATAACAGCCATGTACATGTTTAAACTGGCAAAAATTAAAAATAAATTATAATCAAGTATTTCGGAGTGTGTAGTGGATGTTCTTGTGTGTGTCAATGTTGAGTGTCTTCCTCAGTCTCCACCTTTTCGTCATGTGGTTGGGTGTAGTATATACCCTTGTACTTCCCTGTGCAGGCATGTGGAGGTCGGGGGTGACATCCAGAATCCTTCCTCAGTTTCTTCTCTGCTTTATTCTTTGATAGAGTACCTCTCTGAACCTAGAGCTTGCTGTTTTAGCTCGAATGACTGCCAAGCCTCCTGAACCTGCCACACCTGGCTTTTACTTGATACTGGCTGGTTTCAAATTTAGATCCTCGTGCTTGCCTCACAGATCCTCATGTGTGCAGTCTCCCAACCTTGAAATCAAGTTGTTTTTTTCTGTGAGATTAGTTTGGGTCTTTACCATTTTTTTAATGTAATAAACTGTAAGTACTGCCTGGAAAACTAAATACTGCTAGAGAGGATGGTGATAAGTTAATTTTACATATGGATATTTTTATTAATTTTAACAACTATGATAAAGATACCTCCTATTTACAGTCCAGCATTTATCAAATGCTACTGGGAGGGTGGAACATTGGCAGAATTTCAAGTACTGCCATCACATGCAGGCTTCACATGGATGGATTCCAGGGCCTAAAGAGATGTGAACAAACGTTGTTTGTATTTTAACCAAACCTCAGACATGAATTATCCCTTAGTACAGCCGTTCGCAATCTTCCTAGTGCTGTGACCCTTTATTAATACAGTTCCTCATATTGTGGTGACCTCCAACCATATTATTATTTTTGTTGCTACTTCATAACTAATTTTGCTACTGTTAATGAATTATAATGTAAATATCTGATATATGACCTCTATGGAAGGGTCATTTGGTACCCCACCCTGGGGTTGAGAACACCTGCCTACTAGCTTTATGGAAACATTCGGCTGGTTTTTTTTCTGTCTCTGTGTGGTTCTTACTGTGGCCTGCCCTGACTCCCCTGATGCTGGGCAAGCCCACTTGCTAGGACAGTTGAGGACAGCGCTTACTTGGTGACTCTTGTTACCACTGTCCTGGTGACTAGCCAGCTGATTCCCAGAACATTTCTTTCCTTCTAGATTATGATGACGGCTTTTCAATGAAGCATACAGCTACCGCCCGTTTCCAGAGAAACCACCGCCTCATCAGTGAGATCCTCAGTGAGAGCGTGGTCCCTGATGTGCGGTCGGTTGTCACAACAGCCAGAATGCAGGTCCTCAAGCGACAGGTCCAGTCTTTAATGGTTCATCAGGTAAGGGCAGAAAGCATTCGTTCTAATAAGAGGAGTCTCTGCCTCACGTCCTAGATGATGTGGCTCTGAGACAGTGTATTATAAGTAGACCTATGAAAAGATAGGTGCACACTGAAGGATTTGGGGCACCCCATCAGCCTTTGCTGCATTACTATGAAATGATTTTCCCTTTATCATCTTGTTAATGGTAGTCTTTCCTTTCCTATGTTACATTTTTTTTAAAAAATAGCTAGATTTTATACCTAATTTTTTTTTAATGAAAAATTAATGGGCTGGAGAGATGGCTCAGTGGTTAAGAACATATACAGCTCTTCCAGAGAACGTGAGTTCAGTTCCCAGAACCCATCTGAGGTGACTCACAACTGCCTGTAACTCCAGCTCCTGGGCACCCAACACCCTCTTTTGACCTCCCTGGGCTCCTCCACCTGTGCACATACCCGCATACACATCACATAATTCAAAATGCCACACTTGGTGTGCTTTACATCTGCTCTAGAGAGAAGGTATAACTATATAATCTGATCTGATACCTTGCAGCGAAAACTGGAAGCCGAACTTCTTCAGATAGAGGAGCGACACCAGGAAAAGAAGAGGAAATTCCTGGAAAGCACGGATTCCTTTAACAATGAACTTAAAAGGGTATCCATTCCATTCCATTCCGTGACTGCCTTTATCATGTGCCTGTTGCTTTGGTTTTTTTCTTAAAGTGATGTTTGAAATAGTTCTAACATCACAGTATAACTTGTACTGTCTTTATAAGATTATTCTTGATTTTTAGAAAAATTACAATAAATTTGCAGTGTCATGTATACATTGAAGTAGTAGGCCCACAGCTGATAGATCCCTTTAGTGCTTTTGTTTAAAATCTTTGTAGTTGTGAATTATTTTCACTTTATTATAATTTATTCTTGGGTATATTCATTAGATGTAATTCAGTTGCACTTTGTATTAAAACAAGTAAATCTCAACTGGGCGTGGTGGCACACACCTTTGATCCCAGGTAGAAGTAAGAGAGTCTCAGTGAGTTCAAGGCCAGCCTAGTCTATACAGTGAAGTCTAGGACTACGTAGAGAGACCCTGTCTCAATAAATAAATAAATAAATAAATAAATAAATAAAATGAATAGAGTATTTGGTAGCTGACGTGTGAGTGGGGCATCCTAAGGCTAGCCCAGTCCTGGGCAGTGCCCCAGCAGCTCCTGCCCTGCCATGTCTGGTTTGCTGCTACATACAGCAGCTTTTTTGTCCTGTGCAGTTTGAGGACAAAACACTGATACGTTTTACTCGCCCATGTAAATACCATTATTAAGCCAAGAAATAACTTACCTGATCCCAAGGTCCGAAGAAGACAACATTGCTAAGAGTTGTCTGATTTGTGTTTGACTAGTTATGCGGTCTGAAGGTGGAAGTAGACATGGAGAAAATTGCAGCCGAAATTGCACAGGCAGAGGAGCAGGCCCGCAAAAGGCAGGAGGAGCGGGAGAAGGAAGCAGTGGAGCAAGCCGAGCGCAGTCAGGGCAGCATTGCCCCTGAGGAAGAGCAAGCAACGAACAAAGCTGAGGAGAAGAAGGATGAAGAGAGCATCCCTATGGAGACAGGTAACCAGCTCCTTGGCAGGAACATGTGAGGGCCCTGATAGCTACCTTCTGACCTTTCCCTCTGGATGCTTTGCAGCAGCCACTCCCGTTAGTTAATCCCTGTGACTTTCCAGTCTCTCCATAGTAGAACCCAGGTGGGCGCGCATGGCTCTGGAGACAGATGGAGAGGGATCCTGTTCATTTCCCCATTGCTGGCACTGTGACTTTACTGAGCTCGTTTCTTCATTGTAAAGTACCTGCCTCTGGGTGCATTCTGGTACTGGATTTGACATAGGGTTAATAGGCAGTAATAATATTTTAACCTTTACCATTGTCCCCAAGATTCGTTTGGTCTTTGGTACCTAGGCTTTGAGCAAAGTAAAAGCTGTAAGCCAGATCTTGCCTCCATCTTTCTGTAAGTAAAGTTTCACTGGAAGATGGCCACACTCATCTCTGGCTGCTTTGAGGTGATAACGTGGGGGGAGGGGGGAGTTTTTAGAACTTGTAATAAAGACTTCCTGGCCCACAAAGCCTAAAATGACAGTTATCTAGGCCTATGGATAACTGACCTCACCATAGAGCAGTTTGCTTTTTGATGTTCTGATTTCCCTAAATAAAAGCATTTTGGGTTTTTTTTTTTAAAGTAAAGTTTAGATAAAATACTAATAAATTTAGTTATTCTTGGAATTTTGAGAGCAGCTTAACTTCTGGCAGCATTTGACCTGCCTTGTGGGTAAACAGGAGTAAGCCAGAAGTAGTCGGGGGATGCCAGTAGAGTTCACAGGAAATAGAAGGGCATGGCATACTTTATACTCAAACAGCAACTGCCTGTTCAGGGTTTAATGAACATCAGCATCTCTACCAGGCGGTTTTGCAGTGTGTAACTCAGCAGATTATCTTTTCTGACAAGTCTGGGTTTAATCTTCATTTTCTGGGCCTCTTTCTATTCTTGTGAACCTCTTTTTTACCATGAATTTGAGCCTGGAACACATTGTTGTGGTTATAGCAGGTGCTTGAGAATCAGATTCTGCTCGCAACTGTGCTCAGTCCTGAGTGTTTTCCCCGTGAATGAGATCTTCCTTACTCTGACAGCACAGGGTGTTTACTTTTGTCTTCTAACTTAAGGAAAAGAAAAGGGAGGGGGGAACTGAAGGGGGGAAAAAATGAGTTGTCAAAAACCTTATGGTCTTAACTTCCTAAAGGAAATGACCCAGCAGGACTGGCATTTGGCAGCAGAGCATGGCATCTTCATTCTGTGCCCTCATTTTGTGTGTTTCAGGCAGGATCTTGCTATACTATATTGCCCAGGATGGCCTCAATCCCTGGGCACAAGCAGTCTTAACCTTAGCCCTCTGAGCAGCTGAAACACCAGGTGCCCATGTCTCTGGCTTAGTTTTAATGTTACAAGTAACCCAGTAAATTCAGAATACTGAAATGTTATCAACATCTTTAAATTATTAACATTCTAGGCTAGAGAGAGCTCAGTGGGTGGGACTGGAGCCTGTGTATAAACAGCACGAGTGGAGACTGAGGCAGGCAGATTCCTAGGGCTCATCTCCAACCAGCGTAGCCTACTCAGTGACTTCAGGGCCAGTGAGAGATCTTGTCTTCAAAGGGTAAACAGTTCTTGAGGAACACAACACTCTTCTAACCTACACATGGTGTGTGCACATGCACACACAAGCACACACACAACGACCATAACTGTCTTATATTCTTTTGTCATAGCAAGTCTTCAAAATCCGGTGTGTGCGTTTTGTACACTTCATACTTTGAAAAGCTCAGTTCTCACAAGTGTTTGGCTTATATTTAAATGTCATAAACCTATAGGTTAAAAATGTAGATTTTTGTATTCTAAGTTGTCTCAAATATGCTTAAAACTTTTTGGGTCATACTGGTCCATTTCAGGTGCTTCTCCATGTGTGGCTGGTGGCTGTCATATTGGACAGAACGTCTTATGCCATCAGCATAGTTAAGAGTCAATGTTTGTCTTAGAACTGACAGTTGCAAATGTGTCTTACAGAGGAGACACACCTGGAAGAAACAACAGAGAGCCAGCAGAATGGTGAAGAAGGCACATCTACTCCTGAGGACAAGGAGAGTGGGCAGGAGGGGGTTGACAGCATGGAGGTCGAAGGGACCAGTGATAGCAATACTGGCTCAGAGAGCAACAGTGCCACAGTAGAGGAGCCGCCCACAGACCCCATGCCAGAAGACGAGAAGAAGGAATAAATGTTGCCTTGTTTTATGTGTCCTAAAACTTTTTTAAATGGAAAAAAAAAATGTTTTTTGGTTTTAATGGTGTTATGTGGTCTGTGTATTAATTATTTCCTTTTCCATTGATACCACCAAAGTCTTTTCAACCATCAACATCACAGCCTGATGTCAGGCACGCACCTTTCTCAGCATCTCGGAAATGGCTTTCCTTTGGATGCTGTTGGTAGCTCTCTACTTCTGAAGCCTCAGAACTGAGATTAATTGAGAAGACACCCGGCTCTTTTCGAGAATTACCTTCGATGCTGCAGAATCTACTCTTACAAATGCCTTCCTTCATCTCACGTGGGTGCTCAGCAAAGCCATAGCTTTAACCCTTCCCAGCCCTGTCCACAGCTTTCCGAGCCCCTGTCCTGTGTTCTTGTACAGAGGACCCTCTTGAAAACGTCATGTGAGTACGTTTGTTAACTTGTTACCCTGTGTATTTCTAATGTCAGATCCAGGAGTTCTTTTCCAGGGTGGACTGGTGCGATTGTCTCCATGGTAGAGTAGTTAGGGTGTGAATAGCGTTAGAGTGAGCACAGCACATGTACTTTATCTGTAGTGTTTTCATTCTGGTTAATACGGGATGTGTTCTGGGAGATTCATCCTCACTGTACAGGGGAAAAGAAATACTTTTTTTAAACCAGGTTGGTTTTCCAAAGACATGATAGACAACAGAGCTTAAGGAATGGAATATTCTTATAATGGACTACAAACTTAAAACTTAGCCTGTTCCAGCAGAAAAACAGTAATAAAGTTTATCCACTTGAACATATTTTACAGTGATGAAAACCTCAAGGCTTGAGATTCCATAGATCAGAGCCTACCTTTTTGATAAATCCTTGGTAGTCTTAGAGACCAGAAACAAGATAGTTTGTGGTGTGTGCTTCCTAAAACCTAGAATAGATTTTTACTGAATAGTGGTATATATTATGGTATATGTTTCTTAAAGGTCCAAACATAATAAAGATATGAAGATAAAGGTTTCAGTGTTTTTATTGCACTATAGAAGATAAAAGACAGGCATATAATTTGACCCCTGTGATACATGAGCATCATAGAATGTCATACATAAGTCTCATGAGTCTCAGTGTTAATCCTACTGAAGAAATCTATGGTGTCTGGATAGCATGTAAGACGTGTGGCTAAGTAATGCATATAGCCTGTGCTCGTGTGGGGACACTCTCCCTGCACTCCTCAGTTACAATAACTCACTGCATTTGAGCACACAGCATCCTAGTGTCCAAGTCTGCGCCATTCAGCTTCCTGAGAGAAAGACCAATATGTGAGGGCATCCTTTGGTCAGTGTTTCCATGATTCTCCGTAGAACTTTGGCACAGTTCCTTGTGAATCAAAGAACTTTGTTAGCAACTGGTCTACTTTGGGGTTGAGCTGGCAGAGCAGGAATTCAGTATGTCTCGTTCCAGACAGATTGGACAGCTACAGATAGAACCCTCTGGTGGGTGAGATGGAGCAGAAACTGTTTACAGATAGAACCCTCTGGTGGGTGAGATGGAGCAGAAACTGTTTACAGATAGAATCCTCTGGTGGGTGAGATGGAGCAGAAACCGTGCAGTCTTAGGTTCTTACGGTGCCAAGAGCCTGGAGGCATCTCCGCCTGCACTGAGGGCAGTACTGGTAAGGAGTTCCAGACTGAGGCTGCTGTCACTGGCCAGAAAGTGAGCCTCAGTGGGGAAGGATTGAACTGAGGCTTCTGTTAGGCTAGTGCAGGTAGATACCAGTGTTTGAGAACACAGACTATGACTGGCCTTTGATATCCTGCACCCCATAGGCCTTGGACAAGGAGCCTAAATCAAGTCTATAAAATACAGAAATACCTTTAGCCTCTCTACCCTTACATGATCTGTACTTGTTTTATGAGTGCTAAATTTAAGGGTCTTTTATTAGGTTCTAAGAAATTGGGAAATACATATTTTCTGCAGCTTGCCTAGACAAGCTACAGGCCTTCCTCTAGACAACTGAGCTGATCGGAGCAGCTAGGTGCGGCATAAGGGCATTCCTGTCAGCCGAAGGCTTGGTGTCAGACCGGTCCCACCACTGACACAGGAGCTAGAAATGCCTGTTAGAATTTCCACCATACTCTCAGGTGTTTAGGCACAAATGCTTCCTGTTGGGTTATGGTGGCCTATATTGTTGAATATGGTGACACTTGGTACTAAATTAAGAGGCAGGACAAAAGAAAAATCATAAGGTCATGGAAGCAGAAAGGGGCTGCTCACCAAGGATCCTGGATGAAGCCTCTTGAAGACTAAGCAAGAGCTTGACCACAGTTGACATTTGCTGTGAGGCCACTAACAGAGATAACATGCCTTTCAGATGTGGATGGTAGAGCAATGAAGCCTTGTAGGGTCCCATTCCTTTACCCAGGCATTTTCTAGGAATTTTAACACCAACTTTGTTACAGTCATGATTTTCTGCCTCTCCCCTCGACAGTTTGTAATCCTGTCAGTGCCCCTTGGGAACCACCCTGTGATCTCATTTGGGTTCCTTCACAACCCTTTGAAGATAATAGCTTCAAAACCCCAAATTCTCTATATGACTATTGTAAAAAGGATGACATGTGACCCTGAGAAGCCCACACAAGTGCTCTCGGGATTTTCTTTCTTTCTGAACACCTCTCTGACTGCAGCTTAGGAAATCTAAACTAAGATACCTCTAAGACAGCTGGTTCAGTGACTAAGATAAGAGCATTAGTTATTCTAGAAGATCCGGATTTGAGTCCCAGCACCCACATGGCAGCTCACAGAGGGTCAAAAGCCACCTTCTGACCTCTGAGGGTGCCAGGCATGCAGGTGGTGCACATCCATACATGCAGGCAAAACCCTCAAACCCTTTTTAAAGATAACTGTAATAAACCCTACTCGGCTTCATACTGTCTACTCCAGAAATTATCTACCATGCCCAAGCCAACGATGTCAAGTCTCTTGAAAGATAAGAGAACCCAGGCTTCGAGGCAGCGATGCAGAGCTGTCTCCCTATTCATAGACTAGACAGGTTGTAGCCCGGTAGTTATCTGTAGTAGGGGTGTATATCAGCTACGAGACACTTCATGATGTCTGCTTGGTGAAAATAATCCAACAATAGATTTTTTAAAATGTCTCTTTTACTAAGTGATACATAGCTATATATATATATATATATATATATATATATATATATATATATATATATAATTATTTTGTATTTTGAGACAGGCCCTGTCTATACATAGACCAGGGTGACCTTGAGCTAAGAGATCCATTTGCCTCTGATTCCCAAGTTCTGGGATTAAAGGCCTATGCTACCACTGACAAGCAGTTACAGTCTTTAAAGCAGGAATTAGGGAGAAGCAAAATGCTATCTCATTTTGGCATGATAATGTGAAGGCCAAATGGAAAATATATAGTAGATAAGAGGACTATCCAAAAAGGGAATTGGGTCATGGATGGCTACAGAGTGTAGCTAACCTGCTTCCAGATCTTTGGCTTAGCTCCTCCCCATTTCCACACCAGCTCTGGAAAGGAGACAGTTGGCTTCGACAGGATGAAACATCTAGAGCCTGCAGTTAAATTGAAGCTTTAGTTTTTCATGTGAACAAGCACTGGAGCGGAGATCATAATTTGTTAAATCCTCATTTTAGAAACAGTTCTTTCTCCACCCCGAAGCGCTACCCCAGCGAGTCTCCACCTGGTTTCCTCTCCTGCTTTGGGTTTATCTTGTTGCTCTGAATTCACCCCGCAGCAACCTTGCAGGGCCAACTACTGCTGACTTCCTAATGATCTGCACTTCAGATGGCTTTGTGGGTTCCAAATGGAAAACAGACTGCCGGGGAACAAGCTTGAAGCCCCTTTAGAAGACACCATGCTGAATTATAACTCAGCTTGCTGGGGAAAAGTGTCTTTCATCAGTATGGTAAGGAAAACAGTTTAGTACAAAATGCTATGAGTGTGGTAACAACCAGTAAAACTGTTTATAAATGTCTTAATTGTCATTTTGAATCACATGCAATTGCCCACAGAGGTTGATTGGTTTGCTTTTGTCTGCATGTGTGGTTGTGTACCTGATCATGTGTGTGCGCAGGTGCACACACATGTGCCTGTGGAGACCAAAAGTTGATGACAAATGTCTTCCTCTATCACTCTCTACCTCTATTTTTAGACAGGTCTCTCACTGAATCGAGCCAACTGATTTAACTGGTTGAATCTGGCCAGCAAGCCCCTGGGATCTCCACTCTGCCCCCAGCCAGCCTCCTCCTCCCCCTACCAAGCATTGAGATGATAGGTACACACCACTGTGCCCCGTTTGCACTTTGCCAACTAAGTCACCTCCCATGTTTTCTACAGAATGACAGGTCCACCTGCTTGCTAACAAGTCCACATTTAACCTCACAAGTACAACTGCTTGCCTGCAGTTTTGAGAAAGAAATGACATTTGCAGTTTGCCAGACTGACAATGCATTCTCTTGTAGCTTTAGTGTTCAAGGAAACCCAGAGTAAAATTCCAATCCCAAGGTACTCAGTATTGAACATCCTGATCTTTTATCTTCATTAGGTGTTCTGTCCATGCATGTGCAGGGGGATATGCATGGGAGTGCAGTTACCACCAGAGGCCAGAAGAGGACATCAGATCCCCGGTGCTGGGATTACAGGCTGTCGTGAGCCTCCTGCTGTAGGTACTAGGAACCGATCTTGATTCTTCTGCAAGTGCAACAAGGGCTCCTACCCACTGAGCCATCTCTCCGGCCCTAACTTGCTGGTGTACACACCCCAGTAGCCATGGAGTCAAAACACCTGTTGGGGTTCACGTGGTTTCACTGTCAACAATGTTTTTCTGCATTTACTTAAAGAGTAAAAAATGTTAAGTCGGGAGGGGAAATTCCCAAATACAGTTTTCTCTTTACACAAAACTCAGATAGTATCTGCAGATATTGGCCCCTTTTGATGCACCATCTGAAAGCAAGAGAATGACATTCAGGAGAGGCAACCTCGGAGGAGTCACTTCCTGCCAAGCACTTGGTCCATAGGTTCCCCAAGGGCACCATATTCTGT